TTTTAATCAATCTTTTTAATATTGCTTTCAGGTACTATAGAACAAACTTGCTAAGCGAGAAGAGTGATGTGTATAGCTTCGGGGTAGTGCTATTAGAGATCATCACAAACCGAGCTGTGATTAATACAAGCCGCGAGAAATCTCACATTACAGAATGGGTTAAGTTCATGCTTATGGAAGGAGACATTAGGAATATTATCGACCCAAAACTAATGGGAGACTTTGATACAAACGGTGTATGGAAGGCTCTGGAGTTGGCTATGGCTTGTGTAAACCCTAACTCGAACCGTAGACCGACGATGCCACATGTTGTGATGGAGCTAAAAGAGTGTTTGGACTCTGAGATTGTCAGGAAACAAGGGAGTCAAGTGATGTATTCCAAAGATTCTGTTGAGTTTATCTTATCTCCTACTTCTGATTTCTCACCTGGACCTAGGTGAATTGAAAGTTTTGAAATGTTAATTTATCTCTTGGATTGAAAATACCTTCTCTGTGCATGGAACAAACAGTTTGTTTATTAGCCCCTAGTATGTGTTACTTGCAGCAGACGGTTTGTTTCTGTAAAAGTATAAACCTTTTAGTACGTATAAACCTTTTAGACGGTTTGTTTGGGTCACAAGAAATCAATATAAAACATTTGTGTTGTGTTATGGAAGAAGCAAGGTAACATGGACCTTTTAGATGCTCTGCTTTGATTTGCTTGTTATTACTTTTATCTTTTTGGTGGTCAAAGAATTCTATTTTGTCCAACATAATTTTTTTTTTTTTTATGTTGTGGTAGTTGCTGATATAGATGAATTTCAGCAAAAAATTTGTAATTGTCAATTCATATTTTATAATTTTTGCTAATTTTTCTATATCAGTCATTAATTTTTAAACAAAAATATATAGTTTTTTTTTCAATAAATATATATTCTAAAAAGTCAATTTATTTATTAAAAAAAAACTCCCGTATCCATTTAAAATTATAATTTGACCCACACGTTTTTGCAAATTTCCGCATCCGTTTTCACTTCTGCAATATGTAAACTAGTTTATCCACTTGATGAATTCAAACATTGTTAC